TATCTGGAGGGAAAGCTGGTCAGATGCAACTGTGAGACAATCGGTCTCACCTGTCAAATGTCAGCAGCTTCTCCCCACTTAAAATCTGTTTCTACAAAGACGTCATTTGTAGGATGGCTTTGCTGTTCCTGTTCTTTTGTAACATAGCATCATGAAGGAGACCCACACTGGTAGACACACTAACTAGAAGAATTATTTAATAAATAAGTCAAAGGTGACTTGTTCATTAGTGAATATAATTAGTATAATTATAGTTAATACAATTCATTGCTTCAAGTTTTTCCTTTGGCAACTTTTTAGAGAATTTCTTAGAGATGAGGCTAAACTGATAATAATGATAAAAGTGAGAGCTAATTTACTGAGTTATTGTTAACACTGTACCTATACATCCTACACATTTGTAGTCAATATTCTTTAGAGCCCTATATGGTCAGTACTATTACTATTCCCATTTTATGGGTAAGTAATAAGCCTAATATTATAGAACCAAGTGTCTTAAGTTTGAATAATAACCCAGAATTAACAGACCCCAAGACTCGTACAATAATCATTGACATGTACTGTGTTCCCTATGGTGTTCCATTGACAAACATGTCATGTTTTAATCTGTTTTCTGTTGCAAATAACACAATACCACACACTGAGTTATAAAGAAATGAGATTTATTTGGACTCATGGTTCTGGTCCAAGGTTGAAAGGCCACATCTAGTAATAGCCTTGCTGGCAGAGTCCTGAGATGGCACAGCATTCTAGAAATGAAGCCAAGCTAGCTTTCATAGCAGACTCACTTTTTTTTTTTCTTTTGGTACTGGAGATTAAACTCGGGGGCACTCGATCACTGAGCCACATCCCAACCCTATTTTATATTTTATTTAGAGACAGGGTCTCGCTGATTTGCTTAGAACCTCACTTCTGCTGAGATTGGCTTTGAACTCAAGATCCTCCTGCCTCAGCCTCCCAAGCTACTGGGATTGCAGGCATGCGCCACCAGCCCCAGCCAGACACACTGTTAAGATAACTTATTCACCTACCAGTAGCATGAATGGATTAACCAGTGCATGAGGGCAGAGCCCTAATCACCCTTAAAGGTCTTATCTAATCCTATCTCCTAATATTGAGATTAAGTATCAGAATGAGTTTTGGATAGGACGAACCACAGTCAAACCATTGTGCTCCATTTGTTTAGATCCACGAAATTCCCAATGCATGATGTTCTAGTCTTTAGGGAATCATGTCTATTAAGCCTCTCTACTTGTTATTCATATCTAGACACAGACTTCCTGGCATCGTACATGGAAACACTCCAGAGGTGATAATTTGGAACATGAAGATTCTACCTTATTAAGACTCAAGATGGAATTTCCTGTAGAATCTAGACTAACAGGAGCACTGATGTTTTATTTCTCCATCTGGCATTTGATTAGATGATAACAAACAATACCTGCAGAGTAATGAGTATCTTACAGGCCAATCGTAAAGATCAACACGATACAAGGGGATGAGCACTAGACCTGAAAAACCCAGTTCTTTGGGTGGTAATTGTGTTTTAGAAGAGGTTTAGCACAATGCTTCTCTTACACTGTCACCACAACACCAACAGATGCCAGATGTGTTGAAAGAAGAAAAACACAAGCAGTTCCCCAGTGAACACAAATGCACATCCTAGAATTAATTCAGTCCTGACACTGTCTACCTGGAGACAGTGGAAATTCCACAGGTCACACTCCCACAGGACTGGGTCCTGCCACTGCAGATGTTACTCACAAGTCCCAGGTTATGCCCTATACTCCTCATTCACCAGCCATAAATTAGGGGCTCCCATGCTCTCCTTTTCTTTAATTTGATTAATTTGCCAGAGCATCTCACAGAAATCAGAGATACACTTAATGCTTACCCATTTATTATAAATGATATTACAAAGGACACGAATGAATAGCCCCATAGAAAAGATGCATAGAGCAGAGTGTGGCAAGTGGGGCAGAGCTTCCATGTCCTTTCTGGGCACAGTATCCTCCAGGTACCTCCCTGTGTTCAGCAACCCCAAAGCTTTCCAAACCCTGTAGTCCAGGGATTTTGTTTTTGTGAAAATATCTTAGTATGTTGTCCAGGCTGGTCTCAAACTTTGGGCTCAAGTGATCTTTCCTCTTTAGCCTCCCAAGTGCAAGGACTATAGGCACACATCACCAGGCCTGTCTTAGTTCAAGAATATTTGAATTGGTTTTTACCACATAGGCATGATCCATCATTAACTCCATCTCTAGCTTTCTACCCATCAGAAAGGCTGAAAGTTTAAAGCTTTTAATCATGGCTTGGTCTTTCTGTTGACCAGCCTCCCTCTATCTAGGAACCTACCAAGCATTGCCTGGGGCTGGAAGTGTAGCTCTTTGGTAGAATACTTGCCTGGCACTCAAGACCCTGTGTTCAATCCCCTGAACCAAAAACCAAGAAAAATATGCCGCCTTAGAACAAAACATGTTCCTCTCACCCAGGAAATCCCAAGGAATTAGATAGCTGCTTGGTGTCAGGGACAGGGTCAGAGACTAAACATTAGAACAATAGATGGACGTAGGGAATTGGGAATTGCAAGTATGTTAGCTCTGTTTTAAGAATTGATGATAGAGACCAAATTTATCTTTTTAATGATATCACAATGATGCAGCATGGCAAATAGTTAACTGTTAATTCAATCACATTTCCTCCCTTGTGGACAGAAACTTCAGGTATCTTTCTACCAGGTTGGGGGCAGGAGGAGTTCTCCTAAATAATAAACAAAGAAGCAAACAAATAAATAAATAAATATTAGCCTGTCTTTTTGGATCCTTCCTATTCCTTCCTTTAATGCTCTGAATTTGGTCCTTTCATTGCAACTCAGCAATTTTATCTTCATTCAGAGAGGAAAAAGCAAGAAGATTAAATATGTCATTTAACTTAATTCCCCTTCACCATCCCCCCAAAGATTCTCTAGTTTTTAAAAGGTGACAACAAATAAAAATATGTTGGAACACAGATTTTAGCATTCTGTCTTATCATCCCTAAGCCTCAGCTGTCTGCTTTTTCAAATTCATTCAGAAAATATCTTATTGTGCACCTGCCATGTAGCAGGCACTGTGTTAACAGGGTTGATTGATTCTGTGGTGCTGATACTGGTTCTTACAGAGCTCACAACCCAGTGATTGGATAGCATCAACCTCAGGAGCTGTCGTGGGGAGGAATGAGAGAAAATATATCACAATCTTGGGCACACAGTAATACCTGAATTCATTTTAGCTAATAGTATTCATAAAATATTTTTGTGTGAATTTGTGTACATCAGTTTTAGTTTGTTATACTAATACTTTCATCTCTGAAAGTATGTCCTAGAAGAAAGTTATCTTCTTATTCTTTAATAGCTTCATGCACTATTCTAAAGATTGAAAAAATAAATATACCAGATTCTTAAGCAGTTATAACCCATCTTTTTTGACCTTAGGTCAAGGATGACAGGGGAATAAATGTGGAAAAACAGTTCCTTGGTTTCTTGTCATTTCTCTTTGATAAGTAAGAAACTGGTTTATAGTACAATATCAAATCCAGTGTGCTTGTTAGCTGAGAATAGGAAATTGATTTAATGATGAGAGCCAGGAAAGTTAAAAGCCAGTATTACTGTATCTGTTTTTTTGTTTGTTTGTTTGTTTGTTTTTTTGGATATTGCAGTATAGTAGATTGTTGAAGAACACTGCATTCTGTAGGAAGCATTTGCAAATGGGCTTTTAGATCATACTTACTGGATTTCTAGGATAGGGTAAATCTTGTATTTCCTGACCTACCCCAAATGCATTTATTTTTGTGGTCTCTCCTTCAAATTCAAGTTTTCAAGTAAAATTCTACCAACCACTTGTATTATTTCTCATTATTACTTTTTTTGACATTTTTAT